ATGTAAAAATTAGGTCTACCTCGAATATGTCTAATCAAAACTTTGGTTTTTAGTAGTAATAACTTTTCACAAGTAAACAAATCATTGGCCAGACTGCCATAGAGTGAAAAAATTATCCCTGATCCTAGGGAATTCGCTCCATCAATGAATGGATTCAAAACTATATATGTGAGAAGCAAGTATTCCTTTATAACTCATTGCCGACGAGTTGAATTCGTTCGATATTTGTGCTTTATAAAGATATATTCCATTGGCGTTCTAAACCATGAAAATCACCATGCAAAAACCCCGATCAGACATTGTTTTCCATAAACAAATTTTTTTTAACTTGATTTGCTAAAAAAAATCCAATTCTGTATCAAGCCTTTTAATTCCTGAGAGTAAATTTCAGGAAACTTTGTGGTTACACAGTTTTACTTGCTGTAGCCACAGTACAATCTCTAGAAACACGACGTTTTGAGTGGTTAAATACTCTCCTCAGAGCTGAAATCTTACAATTTTTGATAACTGTAATCGAACTCACAATGACAGAAATGAAAGCAATCGAAATGTTTCTGCTTCAAGGCGTTCAGTTAGAAAGTTTGAACTACAGTGCTGATTTAAATTAACCGGACAAAACGAGCTAAAATTGAAATTTAAAACGCGTTTTTCTCTAATTGGGTTGAGTTTAGGTGAAAAATTATGAAGACAAAACTTGCTTGAAAATTTAGCAAAATTATTATGGTGTAAATTGTTTTGCGAAATTCGGGCCCAAAATTTTACCCCAAAAATGGGTCATTTTGGCTTTTTTTAGTTAATCAAAGATTACGCCAAAAATACCCAGTCGATCACAGACATAAATATATCAAAGTGTGTCTCTTACGTAGCCCAACAAACTTTAAGAAGGGGACTTTCTCCAAAACATTGTGTAAGTTAATTTATTTTTGTTTGATAGACAAAAATGGACGTTTTTACTACATAAAATACCAATTTTTTATTTAAAAACAATTTTTGAACGGTTTGGAAACTTTTTTTTTGGAGAAAACACCCTTTATAAAGTTTGTTTGGCTACAAAAAGGGCTCACTTTGATATATTTATGTCTGTGATCGACTGGATATTTTTGGGGTAATTTTTGATTAACTAAAAAAATCCAAAATGACCCATTTTTGGGGTAAATTTTGGGCCCGAATTTCGCAAAACAAATTACACCATATTAATTCTGCTAAAATTTTAAGCAAGTTTTGTCTTCATAAGTTTTCACCTAAACTCAACCCAATTTGAGAAAAACGCGTTTTAAATTTCAAGTTTTGTCCGGTTAATTAAAATCAGCACTGTATGCATTTCAAAAAAATTGAGTTAGAAAATTTCTGAAATCGAGTTTTCTGATCATTATGCTGTCTGAAACAAACAGCTTTTTTCGGTTCATTTGATGAATAAAAAATGCATCAACTGTGTTAATTTTTTTCTAATCGAATTTCAAGTCACATGCGATCAAACAGCCGTAAAAGTTAAAAAAGGCACGAATATTTGCGAGTGCGGTTAGAAAAAAAGAATATCCGTACTATAACACTAACTACAATTTGCTAGTGTAATAAAGTATTCCTTATGTTGTCAATACGTTTCTACGAAGTGTTTCTCTTTTTTGTCCATTCGTTCCTCCTATAATTATGTTTTAAAAGTTATCTTTCTGAGGCTGTCACCTTGACTAAGAGTATAACTTGTTGATCGCAATCACTTAACGCGTAAAAAAAATTACTTCCTGTTCAAACAAACAATTTATTTCGGAAATAAATTCTGCAGTAAAAATTTCTGCTCATTAGCATTGACATTTTAAACTTTTACAAGATATTCGAAAAATCCTTTAAAAAATGAAAAAAAAAGCTATTTTTGTGATCAAATGTTTATTTTGGTAACAAAGTAATCAAATAATACCTTTCCAGGCTCACAGAAGTTTAAGTTGGGATATAGATGTAGCGTGTTGGGTTCACACCTTTGATCAGTCCGTTTGTTTTTTGTTCAGCTGAAGGCTCCAATAGTACCGGAAGTGAAGGGCGAATGAGATGACGGAAACTTTGAGAAGTATGACGAAGACCCACTGCCAATGGACAAGAAGTGCTTATATGAAGAGGAGTTCAAGGACTTCTGATCCAAAATCCAACAGAAGACGTCAATTATTGTCAACCCTTAATTGCACTTAATAAATTACTAATCGACTCTTTTCAAGAACCCCTGTTTTCTAGTTCCTATCAAACTAGTGTTATTGAGAAGAGAAACAAAACAGTATAACTCGAAACTCAGTAATATCTGCTTATTTGCGAGAAAATAAAACATTCAACACAGACTGTTGTATATCAAACTATTTAGAAGAGAAAAGCAATTTGAAAAAAAACGGCTTTTAAAATAACTAGTGGAGTTTATTTAAAGATGCCACTGTGGATTGAAAAGAGTCACCAAACTATTTAGAGAAGTCTAAATGAAGTATGCAAGTTGACACCAGAGTTTAATTTTAAAACTTTTGTCAGATTTGTGTAATTTTAATCATCCGAATATACATTCTAGTCAACGTTTTACCCTAATCACGCTAAAAATTGCATTATTCAACGCATAAATATCAGATTTCAAGAGCTCGATAACAACTTCGTTATCTGATAAGCCAGTTTTTTCTTTAAAAAACAATTTGTTAAATCGATAAATCGAAACTTTTAAAATGCTTTTTTTGTCATTTTTCTTTCTTACCGTTATTTTGAAATGGTTTTTAGGACAGCATCCTTTAGTAGCTGCACAGACATCAATTAAATAAATTTGGATGGTTTATCTACGAATGAGCTGTTCGGCTTTTTACGGAGATCGGCGGTTGTCCGTCAGGTTAAGAAATACATGCTTTTTTGAGTGTTATTTTGGGCCGTGAAAGGCTTCCGCACCCTCACACAACGACCACGAATTATGATTGGCCTCAAACCTCCGACCTCTCAATTGAAACGAGAGACATAGCCACTTTTATTCCGTTCCCAGTTTAAAAAAAGAGTATTGATGCCAACCATTAGAAATACCATATCTGTTTCATTTTAAAACATATCGAGTTCCGCATATTTCCAATAAAACAATTTTGCCGGTAATAAAAAAATTCAGAATTCCAAAAAAAGCCACGGAGCACACCAAAGGTTATCGTTTTTTGTACATTGGAAACGATATAGAGGTTAGTTTTAGGGAAAAGTTTGAAATTGATTTTAAAACAGTCACAAAAAATCAAAAACTTAGACTATTCCGAGGGCCACATTTTATGTGCAAAAAAAATTGGTCATTCCAACTTCATGAGGGGAGCTTTTCAACTCCATTCTATTCATAGAAATTTTAATATCAGATTTGTTAGGTTAGTTTTTGAGAAAAATGAACAATATTCTGTTCAAACATTCCCCTCACAGACGTTTTCGAAGGCTGTAACCCAAAGGTTTTTGGAATTCGTTAAGTTTTTGGGAAGTTTTTCAAAGCGCCTCGAAGAAATCTTTTACACTTTCGCGATACTTGTTTTTATCAAATAGAATTTCTAGGTAAACATGCCAAGCAATGCATTCGAAACTCAAATTAGCAACTGGACTAAACTTACGAAGCGGAAACAAGGCAGACAATCTTCGAGAAGACACCAGGTGAGTCGGAAAAAATTTGAAAAAATTTCAAGTCCCCTGAAGCTACCTTCAAGTAACTAGTACTCAGTCAGTAGTTAAATTTGAATTCAGATGAAATTGAGCATGTCAGCTGAAGAGCATAACAGGTGAAGACGGTGAAGAGGACTGAGCTTGTCAAATGATTCATCTGATTTTGTCAGACTATTTTTTAAGTAGAAAAATTCTATAATCCAATTTGATAACGCTTGCTTATCGCAAGCGTTAAAAAACATATTCCAGCTTGGTAACGCTTGTTTATCGCAAGCGTAATAAAATTAACCTAGTTCGAGAAGCTTTGATAAAAATCTATTTCGGTGGGAAACTCGATACGTTTATTTTGACTTTAAAATTTTTGCTGTTCGATAGATAATGTCTTCTTTTCAAGGAAGGAATTGAACTGAATCTCTAAAAAAATAAAAGTCAATAAAGTTGCCCCAGAAAAAATTTCAAAACATTTCCTGAAAAAAAAACGTTAAAAAATTATCGATATTTTTCCTGGAAAAAAAAGAAAAAATCATCGCGATCTATATAGGAGTCTAAACTACGTTCATCAAAATTTTGCGAGCTGGAGATTTGCATCAATTGCAAAACCACATTAAAGCATTGCAAGCTCGCAGACAGTAAACGAAAGGAAGGCCACTAAGTCGACAAAAAACAATTACTACTAAAAACTTTTGAAAGTTCTGAAAATTTTCAATTTTCAGGCTCTCCCTCCGAAATTACACAAAAGGATGAAAAACTTTGTTGTCCTCGAAATGATGCAAAGTCATGTCACGACGTGGATAAAACATAAGCCGAAATTAAATTTTGAGCTAAAACATCAAAATTTCAAAAAAAAAAAACAGAATTGTAAACTTTAAAAACAGGTATAAACCAAAAACAATTCAAATTGCAAGAAAACCGAAGACCATAGGGGAACAAGCAAACGACTTAAAATTTGTACGAAACAGAATACTTTTCGTTTAATAAAATGGGTCCTGGCCAGATTTGAATCCTTGACTATTGCCTCCCCAGGCATAGTAGTTATCTCTAGACCAAGTGTTCCACCAAATTGAATTTATTTTAGGCCAAGCAGTCGAATTTGTTTAAGAAAATTTTCCCCCGAATTTGATATCGATTGCTTATATCAATTTGATATCGATCGCTTATCATACGCGTACTAAATCATTGCGTTAATTTTTTGAGTTGTCCATTGCTTTCTTCGACTCAACTTTAAGTCAAAAAGTTTGATTTAAATTTTATTTAAAATAATGATGATCGTACAAACAATTAAACCAAACTGCTACAGATATGCGAATTTTTCAAATCAGTTGGTTAGTTCCGCTATGTTGTTGAGTTCACGATTCCCATCGAAAACATTCAAAATAAATCTAAATTTAATAACTAAAATATGTACATTCTATTGGAATACTTCTATGCTGTTATTGTCAGTGAAGAGTAGAAAAGATCAAGGCTATCGGGATAAAAAAGGAGAATAGAACAATTTCCACTGCGAAGATTGTAAATTAAGTTCTCTTTGTGCATGTTTCTTCAATCGATGCGGCTGGTTGTTCGGCCGTTTGGGTGAGTGAATAGAACAGACAGGCGAAAAGGAGATGAGCATGAGGGCAGGCGCCTACCCCCCGCATCCGCCGCATCCGCCGCCGCATCCTCCTCCGCATCCGCAGCATCCTCCTCCGCATCCGCAGCATCCTCCTCCATCTCCTCCTCCACACCCAGCACAACCTCCACAGCCTGAAGCAAAGGTGACTCAATAACTGCACACAGACTACAACTGACAACTAAGTGGCTTCACTTGATCAAAGAAGACCAAAGTGAACAAAAATCTTGATGATCATCTAATCATGCTAGCTTAACAACTCAGCTAAACTAATTCAGTTGAAATTTTTGAACATAGGCATCAGACAGTTCAAAAATAGTTCACGAACTGTTAAAACTGAAAAAAAAATGTTAAGGTTACAAGCGAATCGGAGGTATCCATGTGTTTAAGATTGAAGGCACATCTATCTTAAATTATCTTCGTTACCTTGTCCATAATTCAGTTATTACACAATCCAAAATTGTGATCAAATTTGTCATAATCTCAGTAACTTTCATATGATTTTACCGCTCTTTTATTTAAATCGCATGATTGACAATTCATGTCATGAATATCATCGGGGAGGGCAAACAGTTCAGGGCCAAATGGTAGGGTTTGTTATGAAAAATAGTAGCAAGGTCTATAAATCCTCTCTGGCTCGACAAAGGCAAGTTTCGCCGTGGGCGTAGTGGTTTTCGTAAAGCTGTTTTATTACGCTTGAGCGCGCGATGCCATCAGCACTAGCAAACAAAAAAACTCAGTTGTCTTCAAAACGTTGTAACTCTAGTAGTTGTCTGCTCTTTCGTGGCATAGTTTGGTTACTTCTCTGTTGCACATGGTTATTTCGTTGTTTTTGTCGAATCTAGTTTGATTGTTGAACGAGACAGCAAAAAAAAACATGTAATGGCAAAGTACCACCAAATATATGAGATCTTTTATTTGCAACTTGGGTTAGAAAACAGTGGACTTCATAATACGAAACAACGCCCCATTGTGTAAATACTCCTAACAATCGAAAAAAAAAACAATCACGAACTACATAAGTGTCTTCACTACTTAATTGACACTTTACAACAAAGAAAAAAAGTTATCTAGCTTTAAAACTAACAACTTACCACCGCAGCCGCCACATCCTCCGCAACCACCGCACTCGCCCGAGTCCTGGTTGATCTTGGTGGTGTGGGGCACTCCCGCGTAGTAGCCGGTCGCCACCACCATCTTCAAGGAGTCGACGTCGATCGATTTCGGGTACTGGGTCCTGTCCGTTCCATCGGGGAGTCTTGGCTGGCATAACACGTGCATCAAGGCGATGGAGAAGGCCAAAGTCACTTTCAAGCCGAGCTCAGCATTCACAGCTCCGCCCTCTATTTCGACTTGACCATTACGCAGATTGACAAACACGTAACCTACACAGGTTCATAAATATGGCTGACAGCCCAGCAAAACTTCACCGCTGAACAGAAATCTAGAGATAAGGCATATTCGACAGTCATAGAAAAACCAGATAATTGAAAAACATTTTATGTAGAAAATGACTAGAAAATCGAAAAAAAAAAGAATTTTTGCAGTTTTTGATTCCAAAAAAGTGCTAAAATTCTCAAAAAACTATTGTTACTCTACTAAAACTAAGTTTTTATGTTTTAGATTAGACTATTGTAAGCTTTTAAGCCATTAAAATAAGCCGGCTCGCTCGCTTTATTCGCTCGAATTAAGACGAAAAACCAAAAATTTTAAATAGGTTATTCTCGACACTGGGAAAAGTTTAAAAATTTTTTATGTCCTTCGAATTACAACTGTAAAAGCTTTAATACTGAATATCACTCAACTCTCTCCAATGATTATTTGTGTTAGCTGATTTTGCGTGGAAAACAAAAAACTAAAACACGCCCGAATACAAAGTTCCTCCCTATTTATCAAATGGTCAGAACAAATATATGGCTTTACAGATCTTTGAATTTCGAGAACAAATTATGATTGACACTTTTTAAATAAATTAACTCAATTTGAGAATATAGCCAGCAGACAGTGGGAAATGAATTAAACAACGCAAATAAACAAACAGCATACTTTGTTTTTACGCTTGGATTAGCAAGCGTTATCAAATCAAAATGAAGACTTTTTTCGGGTTAACAAGTAGTTTAACAAAATCAGTTGAATCACTATGCAGCTGACTTGCTTATTTTCGTGAAATATCAAATTTAGCTAGTTGGCGAGTAAGTTACTATAAGGTAGTTTCTGGGGAACTTGAAACTTTTTTTTACAGAATCAGTTTTTTTTCGGCTCCAGTGGTGCCTGCTCAGAGATTTTCGGCTTTGTTTCGTTAGTTTTGTTCAGTAGCTAACTTGAACTTAAAATGTCTGGCTTGGCATGTTTGTCTAGAATTCCTTTTGATAAAAACAGGTAATATAGAAATGTATGAGATTGCGTTTTTTATATTGTTTTTTGAGACGCTTTGGAAAACTTTATCACTTTTTTGCAAAAAAGTTTAGTTTTCTCTCAAAAACCGTTTTACCGATTTTCAAAATAGAATATCCACAGAAATACCACCTGGATTCTTTTGTGCCTGCATACTCCCCTGGTATCTTTTTGCTTCACCCCTGTCTACAGCCAACGAAAAAATCTGTGGGTGAAACATTTCACCGATTTTTTTTTTTCGTTTTCAAAAACTAACCAAATCAAAACTGAGTTTTTGGTTTCAATGAACACACGGAACGAATTTGAAAAGCTCCCCATCATAAACGGATACACCTAATTTTTTTATATATAAAATTATGGCCCTCGGAAAAGCCAAGTTTTTGATTTTTTTTAACCTTTTTTGGAATCTTTTTAACTTTTCTCGAAAAAGAACCTCCCAAAACTGAGATTGTGTGTTCAATGGTGATAGCGGGTAGTGGGAAGCTGTCCTAAATCAGCGGCCACTAACAATTTTTGCATAGAAGAAGTAATCGTCTACGGAAAAATCAACTTTTTGAACCTTTTTTCCTAAATTTTATGAATTTTACTTCCATAGACCGGGTTGTATGGAGCTCCTCTGAATAATCTACTTTTGCCCAAATTTTTTGACACAAAAATAATGGGCCTCGGAAAAATCAAAATTTTCACCGTTTTTCTGAAACTTTGAACTATTTCGAGAACTACCCAGCCAAACCGGGGTTTTGGGTTCAATTGAAATTACAGGTTGAGTGAATCTCTTCTGCACAAGCGCCCAAATTTTTTCAACAAAAAGCTATGGTTCTCGGAAAGATCAACTATTTGATTTGTTGACCATTTTTTCTACTTTTCTTGATAACTATCCTGGCAAATCTGATATCTTATATTTAATCGACAGAAGAGGTAGTCAGAGGCTCACCTTAAAAATTTTATACGCCCAGTTTTTTTGGCCTTCAAACAAGTGAAAGTTTTGAAACTTTGACCATTCTTTGGAAGTCTCATTACAGTACTCGAAAATTACCGTGCCAATTCTTAAGTTAAATAGATGTCCTTTAAGTTCTTGGAAATTGAAGAAAAATTTTTGGTTGACAATGTTTAGATAAAATTGACCCATTTTGAGCAAACTGGAGAAATAGGCAAGACTTTTATTTCGCTGGGAAATCTGATATTCAAATTCCATTTTCGAAATTACATGTCGATCATGTTTTTCGTGACCTTTACATTTTTGCTGTTCGATAGTGGGGTTTGTCTTCCTTTTAAAAAAGGAAATCAACTGACCTTAAAAATTTCAAAAGTCAAACCGCAAAAACGTAAGTTGGATATTGAACAATTTTTGAAATTTTTCCTGAAAAAAATTTTTCACGACCTATCTAAGAGCTTGAACTACGTTCATCAAATCTTAACCACCAGCAAAAAGCGGCAAGATAGCTTTGAGCATGCAAGAAAGGACAAGAAAACAAGCATGTGAAAAAAGTAGGCTTCGAAAAATTTTCTGACTACGGGATTCGTAAATTTCATATTCCGCATGGAAACCTAAAAATTGAAATCCATATTCGAAACTAGAAATTTTTCGCGCTCAAGTTTTTTGCGCAATTTCTACTTGCGTAACTTGACAGCGCAATTTGCTTACCTTTTAGCAAATCAACTTGAACTGAACTCGATTAGAGCATATATAAAATAAAGAACAAACTTTCCATAAACAAATTTCAAGACTTTCCTGGAAAAAATCATCACTATATATATTGAGCGATATCGAAAACGTAATAGCAAAAATTTGATGAGGCGAGCTTTGATAGATGACATTAAAAGTTGATGATTTGCCTGAAATTAATTTTTTGAGCAAATAACATGTAAGAAATGACCTATGTAATACCTCAATCATTTCATAGAACTAAATTATACCTAGTTTCACTCGCAGTACTAAATAAACCTCGTCTTTTTGTTCAAAATACACTGCTGAATAAGCCATAAACATTCATGTATAATTTAGATCAAAACTAGGTTTTCCTGGTTGTTTTCAGGCATAATTTTCATTCAAGCTTCCCAAACTCAATTTTAGGCAGAGAAGCGAAGCGGAGCTTGTCATCACTAGCAAAAAGTTAAATCAGAAAGAGACAACAAAAAGGAAAATAGCAAAAAACAATAATTTGAGAAAAACATAATTATCAACATTAAATAAACTATGAGTATTTGCCAAGCGGCCACTAAGCCATCACCAAGTAGGTAGACGCCCATTCAGCCGAAAACAAAAAAAAACACAATTAAATTTTAAAACTTTTAGTCATGGAATGCAAACTACATGAATTTTTGAAAAAAAAAATTAATCATTTTTTGCCTGTGAAGCATGGGACTAGCCTCCTATGCAGGTAAAATTTCCAAATCCTAAAATTTAGACTAAACACTTAATATCAGATTTAGCGAGTAGTTCTAAACTTCCAAAAAATGGAAAAAAAAGTTATAAAAATGAATTTTCAACATGCAAGTAGGATACAACAGATTACGCAAGCAAAATCTCAGCACCATGTTAGTTTGATAAACTATCTACCTCAGAATCGCCAGGTTACTTTTTGGAGAAAATATCTTCCAAAAAACAAAAGGCTACATTTCAAAAAATGGACATTTTCTAATGCCATATATTTTATAGACAACGTACAGCATAAACTCTTGCGCAGACTAGAGTCGCACAAATGTTTTTTTTTGCTTTCGGTTAAAACCTTTATCACCAATTTCGCAGGGTAGTTTATGAGAAAAATCAAAAAAAAATAACCAAAATGCCAAAAAATGGGTATGCTGAGGCCATACTTTTTTCTACCAAATCTAGGGCTTAGCCGCTTGAGAAGGAAAGATCCCCATGATTGAAGCTTTCATCTCAGACTTGCGCTTTAAAAATTTGAGAAGAAAAAAATAAAAACAATTAGCTCAAAAATCCCCCTACTGAAAGTTTCAAAGGCCGTAGAACGTTGGGTAAAAAGAAAAGAGACTAGCAAAACATACAAGCACATAGAAGACCAGCCAATTTTTCCACTGTTCCTAATTTTTACAATCAGTACATTAGTATAGTAGAGAAAAATTGAGATTTCTGGGAAAGTGCACAAAATTTTCCACTGCGTCGCAAAATAAAACAACCAATCCTATACATTTTTATAATAACAGTTTTTTTTTCAAACAGGACCACCTAAAACTAGCCAAAAAAAAAACAAAGCAGCAGTATATGCTATTAAATTGACTCTGCTTAAATACGATTAAATACGACTAGCCAAAAGTAAAGCAGCAACAATAGCTATTAAATTGCCTCTGCTTAAATACGATTCAAGCTTAAATACGACTAGCGTTTTACGCACCTCCGGTGCTTCGAAATTTTTCGACAACTCCTGAAAAACCGCATATATTGGAAACAACAGCTGCAAAATTTTAGTGTACTCTGACTCCACCCATTTACAGGGTTGGTAGTTTCGAACTTTTTAATTTTATTAAATTCCTATTTTAAAAGCGTCATCTCGAAAACTTAATGGGCCTCTGGAGAAAATTGAAAGACAGATTTGCAACAACTGAGAGACCCTGAGAGCACCCTACTAGAGTTAGGAATTCAAAATTTTGTGAATTTTTTTAAAGCCAAGTTTCCCGAAAAAAAAATTGAAAAAAAAAAAACGTCTTATCTAGGAAACTAAAAGCATTTGAGCATTCATATTAAGAGGCAAGATTTGCGACGCGAGGGTGTACGCTGAAAATAAGGTGGTATCTTCATCGAGTTGGTAGTTTCAAATTTTTTGAATTTACTTGTAGATAAATTCTTTGAGAAATTTTGAAAAAAAATCAAAAAACGTCACATCTCGGAAACTAAAAGCATTTGAGCAGAAGCGTTTAGCAATCGCATCTGGCAAGATTTGAAACTCTTTAGCGTACCCTGACAGGACCTAACTACAGGTTTGGGAATTTCAGATTTAAAAAAAACAATAATTATTTAAGTTTTCTGAAA